ATATTGAGGACAAAAAGGTTGAGGGAGTTGGAGGAGAAGAGATCAAGGCATTGCTACTGGGCTCATCCTTTGGTGTCACAGTGTTTGACACATGGTTTCTTTGCTACTGTTTATGGAGACCTTCGCAATTATCAAAACACATTCTTCAACTTCACACGCATGTCGATCTCCACTGTTGACACACTGCAGATTCAGCATATAGTCTATAGAACTATATATAGTATAGATTATGTTGTATAGTATAGTATATGGTGTGTATAGTATATACCATTGGCTCTCAACCTGTATAACCTCAGGACGCACATTTATCCTTGGTCATTAAGTTGTGACCCAAGTTGCACCATACTGGAACGCACAGCATTGTGGTACTGCATTTTCCGGTGCAAGCGATTAAAATGTGGGTGGGAAGTGTGTTTGGGGTGCCATTCAAATGAATGGCAACGCAACGCCCACACCAGAATGAACAGTAGGCGCGATTGTGTGGTAGTTTGCGATTAAACCACTGATAGACACACACAACCACAGACACAATCTCACACACACATACACACTTCAACTTTTTACGGGTTCAGTGTGGGCTGCTGTGCTGTGATGGTGCTCCATCTCTATGTGCATTGCTTGTTCATCTCCCTTGCACTCCCTGTAGAGGTGCCGGAAACAAGATTGTGATGTCATTTCGGTCATGCGAGGGAGCTGTAAGCAATGCACTTATGGATGGAGCACCCTAACAGCCATACCCCCAGCCCACTCCACCTCAAGGTGACACTCGGCGCCAGGCAACATGTTTTGAATGGCTGCTCGGCATGAGAACTGACAGTGCTACTCTAAGGGGAGGCTGAGGAGCCTCTCACCTAGTTCAAAGAAAGGCATGCGGCGACCCACTGAACATGGGGTTGTGACCCACTTTTGGCTCTAGCTATGGGAATCTTCTGGGTGGCTTTCAGAGGCTTCCATTGCCTCTAGGAACTTGTAGTTGCACAACAGCTGGAGTGCTGAAACTTTAACATCTATTTCAATAAATATTTCGCTTTCTGGAATCTGGACAGTCATTTGTGCCACTCTACCATTATTTTGTCATGGGTGTGACTACAGTGGCTAAGTTGGTGTAATGCTGGATATGGGAAACTACTCACTTGGATCTCAGCTGCGGATGTACAATTTGTGTTTTTAAATGGATATGATTCCTTCTTAGGCTTCTGGCTGTATTACATCATACAGTCTATCACACTTGAGGATAATGCGGCCAAACAAGGCTTAAGCAAGAAAGGTAATAATACTCCACTATTTTTATCTCATCATTTTCACAAGGAATATAGGAACACTATACAGGTACAATTAGTGTTCAACTAGAACATGAGTCCAAACTGAAATAAACTCGACTTGAGTAGAAACATAATAAATGAAAGTCTCTTAACTGACACAGTTCATATATATGCAAGTAACAGGAGGGATTCAATTCTTGCGGTTAGACGAACATAGGATGCTTCTACTCTGTGTAGACTTGCTATGGCTGTAGCAACTTGATCAGGGATGGATTGGATATCAGGTGCAGCAGGGAGCAGGTTAGTATGCAAAAGGTTCAGTGGTTGCTGCTAGTTACAACACTTGCAGCAAGGCAGAGGACATATTTCTGTAACATGTGCTGTCTGTGAGTCAAGTATGGAGAGACAGAGTGGCAGGCAGATTGAGAGTCTGGCTGTTAACCCTCAGGATGGAGAGTGGAATTAGTGCCAGTTTGCTTCAGGATGGAGTGCGGGATCCATGTGCAGAGGTAGTACATAGTGAGCAGAGGAACTGCAGTCAGCATGAGCACATTGCACACATGCCAGTAGATTGAATGCTGCGGCTTAAACCTGTTAGGGAGGCGGGGCTGAATGACACCGCCTGTGAGAGAAGCAGCGCTCCCTGCTGGTGTCGGAACAAGCGTAGGTAAGTATATTACAGTTGGCCTGTGAAACCGGTCAGGCAGTGTGGAAGGAGCTGGGTCAGCTTGTGATGCCAGGGTCTCTTATGTTGCTGTGGGAACACACGGCAGAAGAGTTCTGGGAGAAGGCATAGTTTCCTTATTGCATTGGAGCCTTGGACTGCAGGGCATAGATCCCTCCAAAGTCAGGTTCAAAATGTTTCAATTACAAGAAATATTTCACCATTGGCCTCCTGGGTTTGGTGGATGCCAACCCCTGTTTAATTTTCAGACCCTGCGCCTTATAAGAATTTAATGTGTTAGAATGGTGGACATGGATTTACCTATAAACATAATATAAGCTATTATTGGCTGAACAGCTGCACCGCAAAGTGGCGCATTCTTCTCTCTGCAATACAACTGGATGTGGAGAACACCACTAAAGTGGTCCTGGCATGCTGGGTGCTCCACAATTTTGTCATAGAATGGGAGAGAGGATCTTGAGACTCTGGACCATATAACCCTTCGGAAGATGTAAAGATGTACAGTTCATAGACTTGTGAGTTGTGACCCCCTTGTCATGCCTTTAATATCCGATATCTCGCAAAACACAGATTCACATCTAAGTCAATGGAGTCTGTTCACACCTTTGCGGTTTGTCGCGTGGACGAAATCGCCTGACGCGCGAAAAGGCGCAGGACCGTTTTTCGGGTGGTTGTCGCGCGGTTTGGGTCCCAAAGACATCAACCCGCGCAATAACCGTGTGATTGAACAGTCGCGGGATCGAAAACCTATCCTCAGAAGTACCCTGTTGATGTAATTTCTGATTGCATATCACATGTGCATAGTTCCCCTGGACAGGTTTCTCCTCCACTGCTGCAGATTTTAGTCGTAAAAAGGAAATGCGATAGAAAGATATTTATATACTCCGTGGAGACGGAGGAGCCCTATGCTACAGGGCATACATAACCTCATACTTAATAGGTATTTTTTTGCTTACACCATAGACTCAATGTGCCTTGGGAGAAAGGCTAACTTGTGGGCATCGGGATTCCTTTTTCTTTTATAGACTGGACATGAGAATTGCTTGTCAGTGATATCTCTTCTAAACCTGTTCCACAAAGACCTCCAACGCCTTGAACTAATCTTTGACTGTATGTGAAACACAGGAAATCCTACTCCAAACATATGGTCAGTACAGTGGCAGCTGCAATACGATGTTGTGTCATTCGAATGAGGCTCTCCTGAATGTACTGCATTCTCCACACTAGTGATGAGACTGTACTTGGTGTGAACGCAGTTCTCCCCGCAACTGATTGGGTCAGGAGGAGGGGGTAATGGTCAGAGTTTTGAGCGGGCTTGGACAAACTCAGATAAAAGGAGTTTGTGCCAAGCCCAGCATCATCACAACTCCACACCGCATGCTGAAAATTCAGTATACGGCAAAAAAATTCACTGTGGGTGATTTCACACTTCCAACATGTGGTCCGCACTTTCATATGTTCAGAAAGGAGTAGGGTAGCAACAGGCTACCAAATGTCGGAAAATTTTAGATGACAAAGTGTTTGGAGTAGTCATTCCAGTGTTTCACTTCCCCTTGACCACGTTTCATTAATAATCTTCAAAATATAGACTATGCTTTTAAAAGTGACACTGAAAAATTGCATTATTAATATGTATACAACCTGCCGAGCAGTCACACAGAGGTTCCGAGCGCAGAGGACTGTGCAGTAGACTAGCAAACAGCAGGGAAATGTTTGACACTTGTTACCATTGGGTGCTACACTGTATTTTCAGTGTATCTTTACATATCACATAACAAATAAAGACATGTCGACGAGCTGACATAAGAGCTTACCACCCACGTATGAAGTCCCAGTCTTGGGTGAGGGAATTGCTGACATCCTCCAATGCCACAATTGCTGACCACCTCCAATATCCCCTTTATAAGATGCCTATCTGAGTATTTGGGATTGTCGGGGTCCCACAGCTCAGGATACTTCTTGACAGCAGCGATAAGGTTGCTCTATGAGACCAGACTTGTCATCTTTACTTCCTTCTTGTTGTACTTCCTCTTCCTGTTCTATACATGATTTCCTGGGCGTAAATATTAATATATTTTTAAGAAAGACTTAAATTTACTAGCGTACACATGTACACAGATTAATATGCTTATTTGTGTAATTTATTTACGGCAGATTTTTAAAATTTTGATTTTATGAATCTGAATCCAGTGCAATTTTACAGATCCTTACGCACTGTGTGCATAGACCCATAGAAAAAAATACACCAGTGCTCAGGCCTGCAAAAAAAAATGCTGCATATTTATGCGGACATGTGCATGAGTCTTAAGTAGATGTCTTAAAGAAGAACTCTGGGCAAATCAAATCTTAACCCTTGCAGTGGGCTACCCGTGCACTGAAGGGTTAAGGGCTCATTTCATCTAGGGTGCTAAAATAACAAAGTTATACTCACCATGATCTTGGCTGGCTCCTACAGCGCTCTCTCCGGCCTGTCTCCTCTTCTGCAAGGATGGTACGTCCCTTGGTGTCCTCACATCCAATGCACTGTATAGAACGTGATGACTCACAGGACCTTAGATGACTGGAGTGAAGGGGGGCGAGGTTGAAGGGACCGGTCTAAGGGCAAGCCGGGATCATGGTTCGGGTGAGTATACCTTTTTTTTAGTTCCATAGACAAAATAAGAACTTAACCCTTGCAGTGCAGGGGTAGCCCCACTACAAGGGTTAAGATTTGATTTGTGTGGGGTTCTGCCTTAATTTCATGTGTAAAAGGTCCATATACTGTTAAAGCTGGACAAAACGAGAGCCCCTTTGATTGATGAATAAAATAGATAGTGTAAAGAACAATTGTAATATGGAAAAGCATTGATTTTAAGTTAGCAATCTTATGTTACTGATATGATGATATGCTGTGGTTTAGTGCACTCTGTATGTTCTTTGCAGAGGTTTTTAGATTGCAGCTCCATAACAGTTTTGTCATGAGCACGTCATGTAAAGCATGTGTTAAACTTTTCAATGTAAAAATGGTACTTTAACATTGATGGACATGCCAAAAGCTGTTTACTTTTGTTCAGCAATTGCAGATGATATTTCATGTGAAACTATGCATTCATTACTTAAATGACAGCGTCACGGCTTTGAACTTCTCATTAGGTGACAGTTTAAGACATATTTTTTTCTGATATAATGATTGATGTGGATTCTAATACAACATGACATAACTATTTGTGCTATTAAGCACTGATTACGTTTATTTCAGTTTAAATAGTCTGAACTTCACAATTTAAATGTACGCTTATGCATTTCAACTGTGTCACATGGACAGTCATTCATTTTTATAAACATTTGCCTGTAGTCTAAAGTCATTTTTACAGCTGTCACTGAATGGAACTCTTTTAGTGCAATCTCTTTTAAGCACTGCTACGGTATTAAAAAGAGAAAATATAATGAGGGGAATGAAAACTAGAGCAGATAGAATTTGTTTAGTTGAACTTTAAAAATAAACATAAAAGCTGATTAGGTGCCATGGCCAACTACTACACATTTTGCTGTTCCAGTTTTTATAGATTCCCCTCAATGTTTTCTTCTGTATGCTATTGATTTGGAATACTTGTGTAAGATCTACTGTTTGACTGCATGAGCATTGTGTAATACCAGTAGTGTAGTACCAGAGCCTACAGATGATGTATTAAAAGAAAACTGAAGCCAAATCTTTTTTTTGGCTTTAGTCCTCATTTGGATTGCATAAGTACATTTACTAATGTACTCCTGTGACCCAAAGTCAGCATATAGCGGGCTACTGGCCACTATATGCTGACAGTGCAGAGCTGCACTGCAGTTGGGCAAGATCCTGACATTATTGTCGGGATCCACCCCATTGCCTGATTGGCTGCTGACTCTGTTTCTTTAGAGCCAGACCCAGTTGTGCCCACCCCTTCCCCTGTCTGCCACTCCAATGAGTGCTGGAAGAACAGAGAGGGGAGGGGGAATCCCTGACAGTCACTGCTATCTGCAGAGAGAAGCCGTAAGTTGAGTGATCAGTGGTTTGTGATCTCTCAGTTCACGATCTATAGAGTGTGACAAGCTGCACGCCAGCTCAAAGTATTGGGAAGAGTACATTTTACTCTGCCCAAAGTTCTCCGTTAAAGTAGTTGTCAACCCTAATTGAATTATGTTCAGCAACTATGCCTGTGTTTTTCACTTGGCTTTTTGGCTTAGCTAAATAAAAAGGGGTGTGTGCATAAAGAAGGTTATGATACTTTACAGAAGTCCTCTTCAGGGATGGATATACCATTTGCGCAAACTGTGCAGCTGCACAGGGGCCCTCTGGAACCAAAGGACTCATTTAAACTAGAGGAATATTTATAAAGCAGTGAATATTACATTTACTGCAGATGAACCAATCACTGTTATTTAAAATGCATACTCCAGGAGGATTCACAGGAAGTGAAAGTTTGCTGAATGTCACACTCATTGCTTTATAAATATGACCCTTGATTTTGGTTTAGCAGGTGCTAGGATCCCATCACACTGCTATGTTAACCTGGACACTGCTTATTTCTAAGGTTAGTGAGAAGCAGGAGGTGGTCTTATAAATGCCCTAACCATCTTTCCAGTCTGTAAAATCCAAGTGGTGTTGGGCAGCAAGCACCCCTTTAACTCCCTGTTTGATTGGCACTGAGACATATAAAATGCTTCTCCTGTTTACTCTGATACCTGATACTATATAGGCAGCAGGGGAAGGCAGGCTACTCTTTGGCTGCATTTAGCTATCAATTGTTTACCGTGAATAGGTGTTTGCACGTGGGCAAAAGATAAGTGAGGGGCCAAACATTGTTTTTGCCAAGGAAACCTTCTGGTGACTATGCCTAACACTGGTAGACAAAGTGAAAATGGCATTTAGTGCCAAAATGACCAATCTTGTAACAGTTTTATTGGGTTAGTAAATGCTTAAAATGAGAAAAATATGTGTTTGCCTCATAGTGTATGGGGACTGTTTAAAAAGAGTAGAATAAAGACAGAATCAGCTGGCTTTAGGAAAAACTCTGAGCAGAGCTTTTCTTAACCCTTGCAGTGGCGCTACCCCCACACTGCAAGGGTTAAGTGCTTGTTATGGTCTCACCCAAACCTCAGAGCTTGCTCACAGTTACAGCGCTCCCTCCAGCCTGTCTCCTACGCTCCAGCGATGGTATGTCCCTCTGCATCCTCATATCCTATACACAGTGTATTGGACATGATGACTCAAGGATCATTAGCGGAAGGGGGGTGAGGCTGGAAGGACTGGTCTAAGAGCCTGTCAGCTCGGGGGGGTCAGGTGAATATGACTTTATTATTCTTGCACCTAGACCTAAAGATGCACTTAACCCTTGCAGTGGGGTTACCCCCCACCCTACACTGCAAGGGTTAAGAAGAACTTTGAGTTCTTCTTTAAATTCATGGCTCAGCATGCCAGCTATTTATAAAATTGTAAATACAAGGGCAAGCAATGAAACAATTGTGAATGTGTTTTGAAAGACAGTAAACTTGACCAAAAATTGTGACTAACAGGACAATAAATCGTGAATTAGCAGCTCATAATTTATGACACATTACATGAGTGTTATAGTCTGTATAAAGTACCATCGTGCCCTGCAATGCCTACTCTCAGGTCATTGAAGAACAAGTGCAGACATATTCTACTGAAATCTCTATAATAAAAATAATAATAATATATAAAACAGCCTCTGTTCTCCATTGCAGAATTAGTACTGTACAACAGGAAATTATTAACATTTTCCATATACAGTATATTACTTACCATTTTTATTTCTTTGAGGAAATGGAACTAAAACTTAGATGACATCAGAACTATCCTAGTTGTACTCTGTATTGTAGTGTACAGTGCCATGTTCACCACTCAATGATAGCATAGCAGAAATAGTTTCTCACATCAAATAGCAGGGGAGAGAGAAATGAAAGTGTCAAAATAAGCGAAAAACTTACCAGTCATAAGGAAAATGGTCAACAGGCAGTGAATAACCAAACAATATTGATCGAGAATTATCATTTGGACCTATATAAATGGGCCCCTTGGTATAGCAATGGTTCAACCACAGCATGTGTTGTTGCAACTAATAATAGGAACATTTGTTAACATTTTCTATCCTTTGAACTCTTAATTATTGAATCTACAAGTAAAGAGCTACTAAAATGGGCTGAAATTAGTAATGCACCTCTACAGAAAGAGTTCTAAATTTGGCTTGTGTTATCAACATATTGTTCCTGAGTGTACCTGGAAAATTGTGGCCTGACAGCTGACACTGATGAGCTCAGTAAGGAAGGAACACTTTTCCATTCATAAAAAGGTGTCAGGGTGGTGATGTGTGAGAGCAGACTGCATGTGCATCATTTGTTCAATAAAGACTTCATGAAACAGAGCCGTGGAAAAACTGCTAATGCCTCTGAAGCAACAGCAGGTAGTCTGGGATTAACTTAATCTTCCCCCAAATATGTTTTTATTTACAGTGTATTCAGGTGTATCTTTTATGAGGGTTTCTTTTGTGAGCTTATCATGTCATTACACTGTGGGTCCTGTGCACGTTCTCCCTAAATAGACAATAATGCGCCAGTGAGTCATTGTTTTTCTGCATGCTCATAACTACATTGCAATCTTAATCTTTTATAGTGTTAGGAGGATGGAATTAGAAGAACCACTTTGTTTTGATACCCTTCATGGATTGAATTGTATTTCTGGCCCAGACATAATGGAAAAGGGGAAGAGAACTGCTTTACATGCCTTGATGTAGCATAATGGAAGCTTTACTGTGCTGACAATCTAATCTGAGAATACTTGTGATGTGTCCAGATATCCTGGCTTGGCACCACTGTGTGCAGAGGGAGTGTCCTCGTTCATCTTCTTTGAAGGCCTGGGCTTAAGCGCTGGCTCATGTTCAAAGTGGAGAACGTTTGTGTGTTAGAAGCGTAACTCTCTTTTATTCAGCCTTTAGTTTAAACTTAGTCTCTGCTTATCGTTAAACACGCACCAAATTATGGGACAGTCGACTAGCACCTGACTATAATAAAACATAATTCTGCTCCCAAGCTGTCTATATTTACCTCTTGATCCCATTATGCACATAATGCCCCTTATAATAAGAACAATAATAAAAAAAGAGAGCCAACGTGTGAAGCTTGATAATGACTAACTTAATGACTGTGTAATTAGTTTAAGATGAAGTTTTGGTGGTTCTTTGTGTTGCAGCCATTGCAGACATCACATCAGACCCTAGAAAAGACATAGCTGCTAGCAACGGAACTGTACTTAACCAGTCCTTCCCTCACGGTCCTCTAAGTACCATCTTTTATGGGAACGTTACGAAAGAGGATACCCATGGCAGCAATGAGTTAGTTGCCGAAATACTTTTAGCAGGTAGAGTATTTTTCAATTTATTGTTGTATAGGTATTGTGGAATTATTTTGCTATTAATAAAGTAGCAACAGACCATGCATCTAAATATCTCATTTATAATTTGCAATTATGCTTTCTTGATAAAATCGTCAAGTTGTGTATTTAAGGAACGAATCAAAATAAACTGCATATTTTACTATGGTGATGTTATTATTCAAGATATTGTCATACCAAAATATTAATTAATTGTGAAATTTTGTGAAGGTCCATTATCTGACAGGGTTATTCACAAAAGAGTGAAGAGTTTGGAGAAGGCAGGAGAAGAGAACAATCTAGGACAAAATAGCTGATTTGGAAACATTCTCCAATTCAGTTCACTTTCCGGTTCAGCTATGTTGTCCTAGATTGTTCACTTCTTCTTCCATCTCCAAACTCTTCACCCTTTAGTGAAAAACCCTGTAAATATTACTTAGTTAGCATCCCTAAAGTGTTCCTATAGCCAAACCTTTTTCTTTTCAGAGTGGCAAGGGGTTAAACATCTGTCAGATTTTATTTTCTGTGGTCTCTGTCCCCACTGGGAAACATCACCTTCATTATTGGTCCTGGTGACCATTGTCCCCAGGACAGAAAGTGATGAGAAATATAACATTTTACAGTTGTCACTTGACCTGGAGGGAAGGGGAAATCCGCCAATGAGGACACCTATTTCGATGACAACTAATTGACCACTTAAGTTTTTGTTATAGACACACTTTAAATAGATCTGCATCACTATAGTGATACCATTGTAAAACTCATAGCAACATTTTACAGTGATAGTAAAATAAAAATGTAATCAGCAAAAAATGTTTTAATTGTTTTTGCTATAAAGAAAAATTGAGGTTTAATGAACAGAAGATCTTTCTTTGTTAAACATCTTGTAAACTGTCCCTAGTATTTCTGCCTGCTTTATAAATTTACTGCCGGAGAAAATGATTAGAGACCTTGTCTGTATTTCTGATGTCATCATGGAATTGCAGGAGTTATTTTTAGCTCTTTATTTATTTTTTTAATGTGGCAAAACAGGGACAATTTAGCATAAAATCAGTCTAGTCAATTCTTAATTCATGAAAGTGTTTTTTTTTTTTAAACTAGCTAAATGATAGATATTTGGAGAAGTCATCTTACAGTTTTATTATAGAGACCTCTTTCACATCGACTGTGTACACATTTTTTTTTTTTTTTTTTTTTTTTGGAAATTAAATTATTTTGTGAAAAACAGTAGCCCGTGAAGATTTAGCACAGTCCTTTTTGTTTACTTACAGTGAAATTAAAAAGCTTGCGGATGAATATACAAATACGCTTCTCCGCTTAGCCATTGTTATTATTTTGTGACTCAGCTTCTGTGGACCACCCTGATAGTTAGCAATGTCTGATGAAAGACATGAATTTTCAAATGCTTTATTTTCTCAGTATGGTGCTAAATTCAAAGGGGTACTTGTGGCTATTAACAAAAAGTGTAAAGTTGTATCAAAAATGCATTATAAAACATTATTTAGCATAACAGGTTGCTTGCAAAATATTACTACCAGATGTACTTATGATAAATTGAGGTTTTATAAAAAACAATTAAACATTTTTCATCCGAAGCAACATATAGTTGGCTCATATGATATGAAATCTGAAATACCATTATAAACGTTGTTTGACTTATTCATACAATCTATCTGTGTAGAGGAGCTGAAGCTTGGTCCAACACTTATAGGGTTAATGCCACTGTCACAGACAACACCGCCAAAATTTAATTCCCCCCAATCTTAAAGAGTATTCTAAAGACCTCAGTGCTGAATCTCTCATTGGTTTCTTACTCTTTAAATTGCTTCTGTTGCAGAGTAAAAAGCATTAAGAAATGTCTGGTCTTAGGGTATTTTATATAAATGTCCATCACTTTTGTAGACAGCAGCCAGTCAGTTCCATAGAAGTAGAAGATTCAAATCTCTCGATGATCTCTTTCGATGGTCTATGCCTGGTGGTTGCAGAAAATAATTCAGCATGACACTTACATTTTGACATTGTTCTGGTCACTGAAAGACTCAGCAAGTACAATGTTTTTCTCAGAGATTTGTCCAGGCATTTTTTCTGTAGGTGACAGATTGTGGTTCGGTATGTATACAAAACAAAAAATGTAATCCTGTCATTAAAGTTTATGCATAGCCAAACCTTTTTGTTTAAGTTTTTGATATAGTAGGGAGGATTCAAACCCATGTCAGTTTATTTCATCTTCATTGATGTCTTTGCCCCATAGGGAATACTTCTCTTTCCTCCTTCCTGGAGATGCAACAGAGAGTAAGAGAAATTCTATTATAGAAAAAACATTGAGCAGGACTGAAGTAAACTCACCGGTGATTTCAAACTATTCTTTAACAATGTTAGAGGCACTAAAAATTACCCATAAACTTTAATAGATATTCTAGCCTACAAGATGCTACCCAAAAAAAGGTTATTGGCTAGAGTTTTATAATTTTGTACATATTTCTTCCTTGTGGTAAAGTGTTTTAATTTGTTCCAATCAATTACCACTTTCATTTTTTTCATAATTAAAATGAATCATTAAAAGTAGAGAACAAATTAAATGCTATTAAAAAGTTTCCACTTTTGTATTCAGGCATCTCCAGCTATAGATAATCTGACTGCAATGCAATTCTCCAGCAAATGTTAACACAAAGTCAGCTGTAGGTAGGAAAGTTTCCTAAAGATCATAATATATCTGTAACTCTAAAATGCTTCTTAGACCATTTATCTTAAAGTAATCCTGGGCAACTCCAACTAAGGATATGATGAAAAAAAAAATGAATGAGCAGAGGTTATCTTAATAATTAATAGATTCAGAGATATAGGTGATTATAGTTAAATGCAAATCTTGACTTTTTAGTAAAACATAAAACTTGGATATACCACCTCCCAGCTATTGTGCCTCTACTAGTCATTGAAGTTGCATACAACATTAAAGGGACAATAGGAAGGCTCAGAAGAGGTGAGGAGTGGAGGCAAGCTTGACAATAACAGGAAAGTGTAGATTTGCATTTAATCAAGCATATAGTACACCTTAATTTGTAGATGTGGGTTCCCTTTTAGTGCCGCACTGAGCTAGGGATTCACAGTGTTAATCTAGTAAAAGCGTCTCCCATTAGAAACTATAGATGGAAATGCACTGCAATAACTAGCTGCTGTGATAGTATTTTAAGAATAATCCATATTGACCTGAAAATGTAATTTAAAAAGGTCACATAGCCGGAGCACCTGTTGGGCCTGTAATACTTTTTGGCAGAAATGTAAGGCTATAAACTTTGTTCTTCAAACAGATGAGAGTGGCTGTGGGGGCAGTCCATGTGATATCAATGCTTACTGTGTGCCATCAGAAGATGGACCAAGATGCCAGTGCTTGGAAGGCTATACTGGGAACGGCAAGTCATGTAATGGTAATGACAACATCATCACTTTATTTTTGTTGTAATCATCAAGTGAAAATCAATGATGAAACCCTTGCAGTTTTATATATGTCAAGTATTAAAGCTCACAATAAACTTACAAGGCTTCAAGCAGTTATATATATTACCTTGCCTCAAAAGCAACCCGCCTCTCTCCTATTATGCAGAATTTCTTCTGTTATGCAAATTGGCTCTTTTACATGCTGTTGGAAGTTCCCCTGTACTTCTGCACTGCATCAATGCAAGCACTGCAGGTCTCATAGACCCAATGCTACAGTTATGTCTCTTACCCCCTCTCCTCCTGGCCATTCACAAAATTGGGGCGGTGTGTTTTGTGAATGGCATGGAGAAGAGACACAACTGTAGTGCTGGGGTCTATTAAACCCACAGCACTTATATCTGAGCAGGCCAGAAGAATGATGGGGAGTTGCTATTGAAACTATGGAGTGTAGAATGTCTTGAAGCCTGGCAAGTTTATTATGCCTTGAAGTAGGTTTTAAATCATCCCCAAGCCATGTTGTATGTAAAATGAGTGCACTGGGTTTCCTTAAAGTGCACCTCTACCCAGGCTATGCAAAAATTTACATATTCCAAACAAGCAGTAAATGCACTTTAAAACAAGCCATCATTCATCCCTGTTGCAATAGGTATTCTGGAGAATGTTATCTTCAAAATTCACAACAAGGCACTAAATTCACAGCTCCTTTTCCCTTCATTTTTTTGGGCAGCAGAAACGTGTCAGCCTTTCAGCTTTCTAAAGTAAAAAAAAGCTTAGCTCACGAATGCTCTTTTAGCTATATAATCCCAAATTCCCACATACACATCCAAAGTTCTTGTGGAAAGCATTTTCAGAAAAGTGGAGGCTGCTATAGCATCAAGCAGGCCACATTTATCTTAATGTCCATTGTTTTGGAATAGGATGGCCAACAAGGCCAACCAGCTCATATAGGTGTCATAATCAGGAATCAACAAACCTTTGACCGTGTGATATATACATATATA